TCCACTGAGTCGACCTCAGCATGTCCTGAACCATAATGGAGAAGTGGCGTTCCCAGCGGATAGCGAGTGTGACGGCCTTTGGCGCAGTGACCTTCCAGGTCACCTGCTGACTGTGCAGTGCTCTCGGGGTCCACCATCCTTTCCCATTTAGCCTTCCCAACATTTAATCCTTGCCACTATCTCCCACTGGCATGCGATACAGAAACTGACGCAGAGATCTGTGTACTTTAGTGCGGGAGAATTGTCTGTAATCTGTCAACCATGTTTTAAATAAATGCTGATTGGCCAGGCAGGAGGTGTAGGCGGGAAAACCAGACAGGAAGTGGAAATGATGCAAGGAGAGCAGGAGAATTCTGGGAAGGAGAAAGTTGAGTCCTCCCACTCCTGCCCAGACCACCGAAACAGCAGGGTGGGATCTGCCCCACTGAAAAAGGTACTGAGCCACATGGCTAAAATAGATCAGAAAAATGGGTTAAGATAAGTCATAAGAACTAATAAGCAGCCTGACCTAATGGGCCAATCAGTTTATAAATTATAGAGATCTCTGTGTGATTTTCTTTCGGGGCTAAACAGCTGCGGGGTACTGGGCAGGACAGAAACCCCAACAAGCAGGTCCCCTCATGTTACCCTTTAGTTTGGGTCTGCCCTCAAATCAATGCATTTCCCATGTCATGTTCATGCTTTTAACCCTAGGGCTAGAGTTTATAAACTCCAGTTTATAGCCATCCAGTTGAGTGACCATTGGTGAGTCATTCCTCTCTTCCCACATGTTAACAGGACATGGTACCTAACAACCTGTCCTCTTAATCAGGAATGTGACCCAGGAAATAACATGAGGGGTCCTCAAAAGGCAAAAGTCACATGTGGAAAACTGTCTAAGCTGGAACCCCTGGCAAGCTCAGTTAGCCAAAAATATGCAGTTCCTGAGGGTTTTTTTGGCTACTTGTGTGTGAGTTATAAGGCAAAAAATTGCATCTGCCCCATCCACAAGTACTTACCCACTCCGGATGAGATCATATGTCAAAGATGAGAAGTCGTTAGGGTATGGTGAAGCCACACAGGTGTCCACAAACAAGGCCAAAGAGGCATCAGAATGGAGGATTTCAGCCTGAAGGTACAAGTTCTGGTCCAGATCCACGTAGTACGGGCTGCTGGTCACTGGATACAGGAAGGAGGAGGATGTATAAAAGGAGATGTTCACATCGAAATTGCCATACTGGACTTCTTGGATCTCGACGGTGTTGTTGGTGATGTAGACGGTGTTGACCCAGGTGTTCCGAAGCATCTTGCAGCTCACATGGATGTGGAGGTCCTTCTTCCTCTTGATGATGCCATTCGAAACCGCTGCTTTGAGGAAGTTGGAGTAGTTGATGGTCTCGTTGTCAGTCTAGTGGAGGGAAGCAGAGCGGGTCAGTCCCTGCTGCTCTGGGTTAGAGCGAGAGAGAAAGGGCTCAGAGGGACTCTCGCAGAATCACACAGAGGTGGCACCCATCTGCTGTGTGGCTGCTGATACCTAGGATGAATGTCAGCTTAACCAGCCAGACGTCCCCCATGCCCCCTCATTCTCTGGCACACGGTGGCACAGGCCATGATAATCTGTACTCTTGGCAAAATGGGGGTGTCTGCATGGCCCTTGACCTGCAGTGTCTCTGATCAAGCTCAGACTCCGTGGTTCAGGGCTCAGAGCAGGATGTTCTGAGTCTATTCTCGCTGTCACTGGGGTCTCAGGGCAATTGGTTTCATACTCATGAGAGGGGCCTGGCATTATCAGTGTAGAATGCTTTTTATTTTGAGTGACTGGTGGCTTCTTCAGTGTGGTGATGGACACAGTGGATGCTGGGAGCCACAAGAACCACACACAATTACAATTGAAGCCAGTCTTGACCCCTGAGGATGAGACTTCCCAGAACCTCAGGTGAGCAACTAAACGATGCCATTCCTGCTTCAATTCATTGTGCTATAGAGCTATTTACCACTGTGATTTTCACTCATAAGGAAGCCATCGGCTTGTGCCATGTAATGTGTCTACCATCTCTGAGAGCTTCCGTGCCAGGAGCCTGACTCCTGGGGCCTGTGAGCATCTTAAGGAAAGGGTGATGTCTAAACATGTCTCTTTCTGTTCTCTTGGTATAGCAGCAGCAGCAAGAGCATCTGTAAGGATCGATGAAGCAATTGAAAAGAATGAAGCCTGAAAGTGCATTAATAAATAGAGGACATAGCAAGGAGGCAACGGCCTGATAGCCAAGAGGAAACCCATGAACCGTGATTCCTGGAAGCACCACGTTGGTGACTGTCTGGCTCCAAGTAAGGAAAGCACAGGGACACTTTCACCAGGCGGGGGCTGTGAGCTCTTCACAGTCTGGGTGCTGCGATGCACTTCTCCCAGTCCCGTGTCAGGAGCCCTGCATGCCATATGGGCTAGAGAATTCTACCATGGTGACACGGACAGTGTCAGAAATTTAAAGTAACTGTGCTCTTAACAGTGGGGAAAAAGGCAGGGCAAGGCAGGCCAGAGTAGACATAGACAGACAGACAGACAGACAGACAGACAGACAGACAGACAGAGCGAGCTTTCCACTGTAGTCATGTGAACTGTGAAGGGTGAAACTCTATCCGAACTGATTGGGACCTGCAAAAGCCCCCTGTGTTTCCAGCACTTCTACAGCTTACATATAATTTTCTTTCAGAATAGAGAGCCTTCCCCCTTTTGTCTATTGTTGAGAATTCTACTTGGCATGTGTTCGTTTCAGAAAACATTACCATGAGATAAGAGCTTTTGGAAAACCTCTTTGACCCTCTGCATATCTTTTCTAGTCTGGTCTCTTCCACCTCAGGCTGGCCAGAGCCTAGGGCAGGGCCAGCCTGTGTGACAGAGGGCATCAGAGCCAGGTCTGGGGAAGAACCTGCAGAAGGGACTCCATGCTCTTCTTGATGTCAGGGGAAGCACATTGGATTTCTCCTCTAAATTCTCTAACCAGATGAAACATTTGTATTCTGGTACCAATGGTGTTATAAACCACAAGGGTCTTTCAAACTCTGTATAACATGAGTGTAGTCACAAAGTCCATATTCACCTTTGTGACAGGGCACCATTCGGAACCTGACCAGAACAAAAAAATTACTTCCTGCTCCGAAGGAGCCATCCTAACTCTAGATTAAAACTCTTGTTTAGGCCTCTGCCTGGGAGAAAGGCAGCCAAAGTGACAGAAAGTCCTGGACATGAGTCAACCGACCCTCTCAGAGAGACCTGGGCTCTCGCTGCCCTGGAATTCCTTTTTCTGTGAGAAATCTCATCTATTCCATGATGCCAGCCAATAGCAGATGTGATGTGGCCCGCTGACCAAGTCATGAACAATTCCCGCTACAGTGCACACGGACTCCACAGCTCACGGACAGGCAGTCCTGGGCACAGGGCTCAGCTTCTCTAAGCTTTTATCTCCTGTGAGTAACTGGGTGATCACATCTTGGGACTTTTGAAACTCCTGTAGAAGTCTTAGTTCGGTGCCTGGCATATATAATAGCTATTGGCACTACTATATAAAGTCTTGGGCTCTGTACCAGGACACCAAGAATGGCATAAAACTGTCCTTGCCTCTAAAGCAATCAGTCTGGCAGGTGAGGTGTCTATTTCAGAAGTGGAGAAACAGGAATGCAACGCATGCTACCCAGGTACATTGAAGTTAAAAGAGGCAGGGCTGGCAGGCTGTTTAGATGCCCATAGCTGTCTATGAAGCGCCACCGGCGAGGTGCTGAGATAAATGATCCTCCAGGCTGCACATCTGGAAAAAGTATCAGTAGTTGCCTTGGGTGGGCTGACTCTCAAGCAGTAAGTTTACAGAGCAAAATACCAAACCTGGGTCAAATAAGCCACCTCCTTGGCCTGGTTGATACACATTCCTCCCCAAGTAGCTCGTCTCACTCACCAAATTCCTCTCAGAGGGAACTCCTGTGTGTAGTGTCTTACCAAGAGATCTGAGTGACCAGGCCCTCACACACAACCATAAGTGGCCAAGACCCACCTGGTAGACTAAGGGTCTGCTTCCTCTCTGGGGTGACTGTGTGTCGGAGGACTGAGAAAGAGTTTTTCCTTAGTACTACACCCAGGGCCTAACATGTGGGAAATGCTTATGCTATGTCTGGTGCATGAACATGACCCTGAAAATGCACAGGCATCTGAATGTGCATGTCCTGTATATTCATCGGTAGTAAGACACACCCCTTTGCCATGGTCTGAGCATCTCCATCCTGCCTCCAAAGTCACATCCTCCAACCTAGAAACAGGTCACCCATGATGGCCTTTTCCCCACTGCACAGGCATCCCCTTTTGCTAACTTTAGTATGAATGGACATTTCTAATAGTAACATACATATCTTTTTCACAAGACTCTTCTGTGTCTGGCTCGTCTGTCTCAGCAGAATGTTTCTTAGATCTATGACTTCTGAAATCAGCCCTGCCCCCATCTGGGACTAAGTGGCCTTGAGCAATGGACTTGACCTCTCTTAATTCAGTCTCCTCACTTTTAAAGTGGGGTGGCAATACAAGAATACTTAAGAATTTATTATGGTGGTGCAAGTCTTTAATCCCGTCACTCAACAGGCAGAGGTCGGCAGATCTCTCGGAGCTCAAAGCCAGTCTGCTCTACATAGCCAACAAAAATTGCATGGTGTACTTGTTTCAAAAAATTATAATAAGATAAAAAGAGATTTTGGAAGTGTGGCTGAGACTCATCACAGCATCTTACACTGACAGGATGATAACGGTCTCAGTTGGCCCAAGACTGGTGTCCGAGTTATGGAACAGTCTGTGCTAAAATCTGCCCAGTCTCAGGCAAACTCAGACAGGTAACCACTCTGTTAGTCATGTTCAACACATGGTGGTCCACAGGCCATGTTTCCCACAACACTGAGGAAGGTACATGCTTCTGTAAGTCCACACACAGTAGCCCAGCATGAATTTTGTAGATGACGCTGTCACGACACAAGGTCACAAGGCTGGCCACCCCTGCTGTTGGCCACTCCAGAAATGGCAACTGTTTCAACCAAATGAGTGTGAAACATGGCAGTACCCTGGCCTCCTCAGAGCCATGGCCATGTGTTTGCTGCTGTAAAGAACTCAGGAAAGTAGGCGGGTTTACATCTTTGACTTAGGGGACTTCTGCTATTTCTCCCATCCCAAAAGAAACTGTAGAAGCCCCCAGATACTGCAAATCCATCCTGGGATGTGTATGAGTGGAGTCCTGCTGGATGCTCTCTCTGCTGGCCACACTGTGGAAATGCTCGGCTCCCGCTTTGGCCTCCTCATCCCTCCTATTTGGAAGCAGCTGTGGCTATGATACTACCAGACCAAAGGCCCCCTTCTTTCTTCAAATGAATCATGTTCTGGTTATACCACAGTTATAACTTCTAGATCCCCAGGGTTCGAGATGCACTACATATGACATTGTAGTAAATCACACTCAGGGCTGGTGGGGTGGCTCAGTGGGTAACGGCACTTGTGGCCAAGGCTAACAGGTTTAATTCTATTCCCAAGGCTCACATGGTAGAAGAAAAGCACCAGCTCCCTTAAGTTGTCTTTTGACCTCCACATGCATGCAAAGGCATGCTAACACACACACACACACACACACACACACACACACACACACACACACACAGAGAGAGAGAGAGAGAGAGAGAGAGAGAGAGAGAGAGAGAGAGAGGAAAGCATGCTCAATGGAGTGGGTGGTGCCAGGCTTACCTGTTTGGTAGTGCCACAGCCCGTGTAGGGAATTGTGAATATGACCTGCCTCTGTGTTATCTGGGACCGACACTGGTAACTTGAATTCCAACCAGGAATGACAAGCTCTCCGGCAGAATAGCCCATGGACTGAAGGTAGCTCCTGCTCACACTGGCTCGCATGTGATTTGACAAACAAAGGAGACCTGAAGGACAGAGCAGAGGGTGCACTGAGTCAGGATTCCAAACCCTATGCATGACCTTCATAAGGGTTTTTTCCCAGGTACACAGATGGAGATTGCTGACACACAGGGTCCACACGTGAGATCGATGCTCGCAACAGAGTCACTTGCTGTTGAGAACACCACTTATACCTTCTCATTCTTTGCCACCGCACTAAGTTCAGTATAACTCTCAATGGTGCTAGCCCTTGACTCTCTTCTGTATGTCCCGAGTCCCAAGTCTCACTGCACACAGCCTCTCTCAATAGGCAATATAGGAAATCAACCATAGAGTCCACAGTAAGGGTGTTATAACTTTTCTGTGTTATAATCCCAGGACAACGCAGGAGCAGAAGGCTCTCAGGGATGTCCCCAGTCCCAACACGCCTTTGTTCTGACAAGGGAACTTACTGGTGATGTTATTGGCAAAGTCCGAGTAGTACTCAGCCTGGAACCCTCTCCGGGTAATGATGTGGTCACTGATGAAGCGCACTGACATGAAGTTGGATGTGGACGTGAACGAGCCCAGGGCCCCGTCACAAACGCGAGCGATGAGAGGAGAACTGTGGTGGGGGCCGTCGAAAATCTCAATATAGTCATAGCCACAGCCCGCTTCAAGCCTGAAGACACAAAACAAGCAGTTACATCTCTACCATCCAGACTTGGATGAGGACTCAGGCCTCACGGAAACACGGACCAAGGTCATTATTTGAAAGAACAGATGACTTGTCTTCAAACTGCCATCTAAGGTCACATGTATGAGAGCTACAGTCCCTCTCCCTGACTGTCCTTTGAACCAATAAAGAAAGGTCACCAGAGAACATCTTGATTTGTCCCTTCAAAGTGCTCCCAGGTCCTTTCCAGAATAAAACAACTACCAATGAATGCAGCGTGACAGAGATGACTAGTGAAAGAAACACGGAGAGCCTCCCTAATGCTCGGGTTTCTCATCTGCTAAGATGAATGCAGTGCGCTATCCATACTGAAGGGAGTGGGGGGGTGAGGTCTGAACGGGTCTCTGTGTAGGAAAAAAATTATTCCTGAAAAGTCCCATGCAGTGGGCCCTGTCGCTGGGGTGGTAGAAAATACAGGTCCTAGTTTCTTGGCCAGCTGAGCCATTTGCCTCCCAGGATGAAGTGTATATTACCAGGCTTCTGTAGACAACTCTTCCGGTCAAGGACATTCTGTTTGTCAGTATATGAGCAATGGGAACTTACATATGCGTCAGTAAGGCGAGCACCCTGGCTCCTGAGGACTCACAGAAAGGAAGGGGTCGATGAGGAAAGGGCTGCCCTGAACAGGTGTGCTTGTATATTGTGCTCCCAAGACTAGCATTGCCCAAGTCGCAAATCTCCCTCCCACTGCAAACATCTCCCAGCATTCCCACATTCGCCAGTGACCTCCTAATCAACAAGATGAGCCTTTGAAGGGCATTCTAACCCCTTCTTCTGGCTGAGGCTTAGGAGAGTGGCGTCCCGTGGCCATGTAGTAAATGCGGGACAACACTGAAGCTTCAAGTCAAAAGGTTTTCAAATTCCTGTGCGCTTGCTCCCACTCCATCCTCCGTGGCCTACTCTCCATATCAAAACTAGACCCCTTATTTTAAACGTCATCTTGATGATCATTCCCCTGAATTTCAAAGCACCCTGAATTTATCCCCCTAACATCTGCTCTGCACCCACACTTACTGCACATCTCTGAAGACCAGAGTCACGCGGTAGTTGTTCGGGACCTCAATGTTCCACACGCATCTGGCGTTGTTAGGATAGTTCGCGGGGTAGAACGGACTGGAAAAGTTCCCAAAGGGTTGGGTCAGGAAACCTCCACAGGTATAGTTGACTGGAAGGAAAGAGTAGAAATGCTGTTGACCCTAGAACACAGCACACGGCTGCCTGGCAGAGGGAGGAATGTTTGGCACAGGATCCAAGGGAAGAGTCCCAATCA